TGAACTTCTCATCAATCAATACCCCCAAGTCCTTCTCCTCAGGGCTGCTCTCAACCCATTCCCCATGCAGCCTGTAGTTGTGCTTGGGATTGCGCTGACCCACGTGCAGGACCCTGCACTTGGCCTTGTTGAACTTCATGCGGTTCACATGGGCCCACCTCTCCAGCCTGTCAAGGTCCCTCTGGATGGCATCCCTTCCCTCCAGCATGTTGACCACACCACACAGCTTGGTGTCGTCGGCAAACTTGCTGAGGGTGCACTCGATCCCACTGTCTGTGTTGCCAACAAAGATGTTAAACAGTGCCAGTCCCAGCACTGACCCCTGAGGAATGCCACTCATCATTGGTCTCCACTTGGACATTGAGCCGTTGACCACAACTCTTTGAGTGCAACCATCCAGCCAATTCCTTATCCACCAAATGGTCCATCCATTGAATCCATGTCTCTCCAATTTAGAGACAAGGATGTTGTACAGGACAGTGTCAAATGCCTTGCACAAGTCCAGGTAGGTGACATCTGCCACTGTTCCCTTGTCCACCAATGCTGTAACCCCATCATAGAAGGCCACCAAATTTGTCAGGCACGATTTGCCTTTAGTGAAGCCATGTTGGCTGTCACCAATCACCTCTTTATGACTGTCACCAGGTCCCTCTTTGGTGCTCTGCATTAGCATCATCCTGTCCTGGGCCTGAGGCACATCCCCAACTTGGGTGAGGGCTACTGCAAACTTGAGGGGATGGGGGTGACTGCAGTTCTTTAACCTGTGCCCTTGCTCAGGCTGTCTGCCTTGAAGCAGGACTTGGCCTCCAGCATTTTTATGGAGCTCCCTGCAGAGGAAACACTCAGGAGTTTCCTATTTCACAGCACCAAGAAGCAAAGAGCAGGATGTGGGGAGGAGACAGTGCTGGTAAGGCAGACTGCAGCACTGTGATGTGAAGCCTTTGACTGAAGGTGACTCATATCCTACTGGGCAGGGGGGCCCGGGCTGCCAACAGGCACCTACGGCACACACCAGGCATTCGTGGTGCATGCCAGGCACCCTGCAACCCCTCTCCCAAGGGACCTCCCTCACTCTGGCAGGGGGAACCAACCTGTTTGCTTGGTCTCATGCACCTCAGGCAGCTGAAAGGAACACTGCAAAGAGCACCCGGAGGGGAATCTCAGTGCCCCGTGCGCAGTGGTGCGCCTGTCCCCTTCCTCAGCACCATGATGACACCCTGCTCCTGGGCCACCCTCCCTCGTGCTCCCCACAGACTGTAAAGGCAATGTGGGCCACAGCCCCGCTGAGCAGCTGTCTGCAGACAGGAAAGGCTGTTCAGACCCCAGCAGGATCCCATCGAGAAACGTCACCAGAGCGTTGCAGGAAAGGCCAAAGTGAGCAGCTTCACAGTGCCCTGAAAACAAAGGCCTGTCCCCAGAAGGCCTTGAAGCAGAGAGTTAATGGTTAACCCAGCATCAGCCACCAGCTGGGAAGCAAGAGCGACCTCGTCCCAGGACACAGCTGGCAGAGCATGACGCAGGCCCGTGCGCAGCAGGGCTGGTGTGCAGTGCTGGTTTTCAGGCCACAGCTCCTGCAGGTTTCTGCAGAGCTCAGGGGAGAGGTTTGTGTGTGGCCCACAAGTGTTGCGCCAGCTGAGAGGGGGCAACTCTGGCTCCCAAGCAGCAGGCTCCTGACCACAGAGACCATGGTGGCTCAGAAAACTCTGCTAATGGGACCAGTCCCACAGTCCCCTTCATGGGAAGGGGTAGGAAATGGAGAGCTACCTCCAAGGCAGGTGGGCAGAGGGGCAAGGCAGAGGGGCCACTCTTCCTTTTCCTCCCTCTTCTACGTTTCAAATATTCCTGCAGCACCAGTTGCCACCTGGATGGAAATGGAACCCCCCACACACACACTCGGTGTGCTGGGGAAGCCCCACCATGGAGGCCAGTAGAGGCTCAAGCTCAGTGAGCAAGTGGGCGCAGAGAGGTGACCTTGTTTCTTCTGTCTGCAGAAGCCTGTTGTCTTCAGGACAATCGCCCCGGCGATTGGGGTGGTCCAATGCAGTCTCTGCCAGGAAGAAAGGGGTTTATGGGCACAGATCCCTGGGAAGGAACCCAGTATTGCTGGTGAGCCACCCATCTTGTTGCTCCACCAAACCACGCTCCTAAAGTTGATTCCTACAGAGTCTGGACCATAGCTAATAACACGCCTTTGTGTCTGCACAGGATAATGCTGGATTGAAGAGCTTGGTGTGTGCCATGAGTCAGGATTTAGACCCTCTGGCTACATTGTCACAGCTCATAGGTCATAAAGAGTAGCAGAGGGATTTTGGGACTGAGTCACTGATCTCCTCTGTGGATGTCAGAGGCTGCTCAGAAGGCCAGAGGAGAACCTGGTTTAGGAGGAAACACTCAAATCTTTGAATGAAGCAGAAAATTAAACTCAGCAATTAATTGCATGAATGAATTACTAATAGTGTCCCTCAGGGGCTGATGATGTTTAACATCTTTATTAACAGAGATGATGGGATGGAGCACACTCTCAGCAAGTTCATGGATGATAGTAGACTGGGAGGTGGGGGATATATGGCTGATATCATATATCATGGCTGATATGCTGGAGGGCAGGACTGCCTTTCAGAGGGACCATGACAGGCTGGAGAAAGGGGTGGACAGCAGCCTCAGCAAAAAGCAGTTCGAGCCCTGCTCCTGTGGGACCTGGACAGGCTAGGGATGATGGCTAGAAAGTAGCTTCATGGAAAAGGGTCTGGGAAATCCTAGAGGATGAAAAGTTGAACAGATATCAGCAGCGTGCCCTTCTGGCATAGACTGGGCTGTGTCAGCAACTGTGCAGCCCGCACATCGAGGGAGGTGGTCCATCCTCTCTGTTTGGCTCTTGTGAGGCTACATCTAGAGCGCAGTGTCTAGTTTGGGACTGCCCTGTACAAGAAAGACACAGATGTACTGGGCTGAGTCCAGCAGAGGCCACCAAGATGGCCATGGGCTGGAGCAGTGGAACTGATGGAACTGGGTTTACTGAGCCTGAAGATGAGAAGGCCAAGAACTATTGCTTGCCTGCAGCTATCTAATGGGAGGGTATAGAGAAGACAAAGTGAGGCTCTCCTCTGAGGCACACAGTGAAAGAAGCAAAAGATACAAGCTGTGAGATGAAAATTTTCAAGTAGTTATAAGATTTTTTTTCCCCCCATCATGAGACTGGTCAAACAGCAGCAAAGGGTCCCAGAGAGGCAGCAGGACCTCCATCTGTGAAGGTACTCAGAGGTCTACCACAGGCAGCCCTGGAACTCCCCAATACCTCCCCAGCTGACATGAT